TTTTTGATTTTACCTAAACTAAACCAGAACTGAACCAGGTCTAAACTAGATCGAAACCAGGACTAAACCAGTCTCAGTCCTGATCTCAGTCCCGATCTCATTCCCAGTTTGGTCCAGGTCTGAATCTTGGTCTGGTCCGAGCCTCAGTCCTAGTCTCATTCCTGATCTTGTTCCAGTCTAAGTTCTGGTCTGGTCCTGGTCTCAGTCCCGGTCTCAGTCCTGGTCCCGATCTGGTCCCGGTCTCAATCTTGATCACCTGACAGTCTACGCGGGCGCAACTCCGGGCCCATCCTGACACTCCTGGTTCAGTCCCGATTCAGTCCTGGTTTAGACCTGGTTTAGACCTGGTTTAGTCCTGGTTTAGTCCTGGTTTAGTCCTGGTTTAGACCTGGTTTAGACCTGGTTTAGTCCTGGTTTAGTCCTGGTTTAGACGTGGTTTAGTCCTGGTTCAGTCCTGGTTTAGTTCTGGTTCAGTCCTGGTTTAGACCTGGTTTTGTCCGGCATCGCAGTTTAAGTCACGGAAATTATTAATTTTAACAAAATCGAAAACTGTAAAAAAACTAATCATTATACGTTTTTTCATTTTGGTTTTAGAGACAAATAATGAAGAAAATAGCAGTTTTTTAAATTTTTTTATTTGTTTTCTTATTTTTGGTTTTATTTTGAAAAACAAATGACCGAAGGATATACGGATCTGTGGTTTAATTTCAAGCCAAATTAAGTGCGAAACAATAAAAAAGGCAAAACAAGATCTATCAGATTCTGAACACAAGTGATAATAACTCAATGTAGAGACTCGTTTTTTTACAGTGCATCAGAAACATAAACAATATTTTAAAAACAACATAAAAACAGCTCGGTTTTGTTTGGTTTAAGTCCACAGACAGAAACTGGCCCTGTCCAACAAAGTCACGATTATTTACTCAGGGAAAACACAAAGACGAGAAATTTACAATGAAACGCACTGCAAAAAGAACTTGATTTGAGTATGAAATAATAAAATCAGAAAACCCAATGAAGCTGATAGAAGTAGAGTAATTATTTTGAGTAGTTTTGACTCATGTACATTTATTTCCTCACAGGACTTAGATTATTTTACATCTTGAGCTTGTTGACCTGGTTTAATTAAGTTGATAATTAAAGCGGACGAATTATGCAAAATAGATTTTTCATAGTTTCAGTTTTCTAACATGGAAATCGCATTTGTTTCTTTTATTATACGCATTTGACTCTTTAAGTCATTTTAGGTGAATATTGCGATTCAAAATTAAAACTGAATTAAATTTGGATCAAATTATAACAATGTTCCATGGGTGTCATAGATTATAATTATAGAGCAAACACAATCACAATATGGCTTCTTTAAAGGTTCCATATTGCGCTATTTTCTGATCTATGTTATAATGTTGTTTCCTCGTCACAAACATAGCTGGAGTTGTGTTTTGTTTCATTCACACTCTGTTCCACCTTGTGATGTCATGTGGTAATACAGGAAGTGCTCCTCTGTGTTTTAAAACTCCATACATCTTCACTAGGAACATTTGGATAGTTTCAGCCCTGGAATTGCCGATCTCTACTGAACAAAAGGTGAAAAATATCTGCTGAAATCTACTGGTTAATGACATCACAAGGTGGAACAGAGCGTTTAGAACTTTTGAGATGTAGGATTACTCAATTTCACCTATAGACCGTATATATATGAGAGGACATAGCTAACGCACTAGCTGCCATGTACCAAACAGGAAGTTCTCCAGGAGGCTCTTCCGGCTCCTTCTGACTCTGGCTCTAGTTGACTTACATTTGGATCTTGTCACCGCTCTCTCTGTACCTGCTGTCTGACATGCTCTACAAAATCCTCGTCCAGATGGCCTTTGAGCGACGCTGAGCACCGTCACACTCGCTTAGCCCACTTTTACACAGTCTATGATTTCACATAATGTGTGACCTTTAAGTTTGAACTGCTCCTGCTCCTCCATGCTTTGAATATTCCACAGTGTGGCATTAAACTTACCAATATCCATAGAGAATAGAGCGGTGACCCTGCTCACAGTAAGATTGTTGTTTTTTTGTTTTTTTTTTAAATAAAAACATTTGCTACTGAATAAGTGCAAACTTAAACAGGTGGCAGAAACTCCATCAGATCAGAAAAAAATATACGTCCAAATATTTCTTTTGCCTGAACTTAAATGGGGAAAGGTTGATTCTGTATTAAACACAGAATTAAGGTTTAAAGATTAAAGAAGAAAATGCACTTTATTTCAAACTGATCAGATGATTTTGCTTTAAATTAAAGTAATCTAGGTTCAGCATGTACAGAAATCTGAAATATGAAAACTACAGAAGTGAACAAAGTGTACTGCATATGCAGTTTGCAGTTTGCAGTGCGTTTCAAAGTTCACAACCGTTGCTTCATGGTTAGTTTTTTTCAATTGGGAAGACAAGGTAACACAAAATGAACAAAAGTAATGACATTTTTTGTATTTTTGTATCAAACTTTCAATAATTAGGCCATTGTACACTTTCAGCAAACCTTCAAAACACCTTCAGTACCATTAAAAACAAAACCTTCCCAATCCTGCTTCTTATGAACATTTAGAGCGCTACAAATTATAAAATAAACAAAATAATTTAACTACAATAAAAAGATGAAATGCTGACTTTATTTAGATGAAAACGACGACCTAATCCAAATATTTAGTAGTAGTGAAAAGTTAAGGAACATTGAATTTTTCCATATCTATCGAGTGTTTTGTCGCTCTGGCAATTAGACGTCCATCTGGAATAAATTTAGTTTAAAAAAATAAATCAAAAATAATATAATATAAAGTACAACCTCCTTGTTCAGTAAATTTAACTCTTTCACACACTGGAATAAGAGAATTCCACCGATTAAAGCTACCATCTGTAATTAGACAGAAGAAGAAGACCAGAGAGAAAAGGTGAGTCTAAACAAGGGGGAGGGGTCAGGTGAGGGGAGGGGCAAACAGGTTTCACATCTGCCATCTACTGGTGAAAAAAAAAAAAAAAAAAAACAAAAAAAAAAAACTTGAGGACTGTCACTTTAAAGTTTTAAATCAAAGTAGTGTCCACATGAGATAAATGCATTTTTTACATCAGTTATATTAACAGATTTTCAAGTTGAAGTGGGACTAAACACCTAAACCCGCCCACATTTAAGGGCCAACATTATGATATTTTGTGTTTTATGTTATAATGTTGTTTCCTCATCATTGTTTCATTCACACATTCTGTCATTTCCAGACTTTTGAGCACCTGGATATAAGCCGCAACAATTAAAGTTAAAAAAATAAAATAAAAATTGTACATATACAGGCTGCACATGTGGTGTCCACGCTGTAACTTGACATATTTAAACAGAAATATTTTTTTATTTTTAATTAAATATCTGTACATGCTTTTTCCAAACAGTGCCTGTAACAGCAATAAAACGACAGGATTACGCCCTTAGAAAAGGATTATCAGAGTACGTCACTAGGCTCTACTGCGCATGTCTCCAGCAGAAAGAGTCTCTGTCCTTCTTGTATCATTTCAGCAGATTTCAGGCTCTCTGGGAGGCGGGGATAGGTGTATGGATCAGGTCTGAGTGGATGTTTGAGACCTTTCTTCTCGTCATTTACGTACTCACCTTGAACACATACGGGTCATAAACTCACTCACTAATGTTCATTTAGCATCAAAACTTATTTTATCACATGCCGATAAACTGCTTTAGTGCTGACAACATCATTAGCTTGTGTTGCAGCTTCATATTACCAGCACAGACAGCGGCGCTTTCTGCACTCAGGCTGCGGAGCATCCACTGTGCTGAATGAATGATGAACAAATAATCCGTCCGTATATTTGCCGCATCGTTGTATAAACTGCAGGGTTCAAAGTGTGAGAAAAAAGAAGCGGCTTATAGTCCGGAAATTACAATATTTAACACACAAACGCTGTATATTTATATATTTATACAATGAGTCCTTCTTTCAAACAGAAAACTGACCAACTTCAGCCCTGGAAATGCCAATCTCTACGTAAACATAGATGTTAACTTGAAAACTACCACTTCATCAACACAACATCACGAGGTGGAACTGAGCATTTTGAGCTTTAGAGATGCAGACAGACTAATAATAAAGAGTTACTCAAACATGTGTGAATGAAACAAAACACAGCTCCAGGTCTGTTTTTGACGAGGTAACAACATTATAACATGACTTAACGCTCACAAGAGTCAATTTTTCATATTATAGACCCTTTAAACATGTATTTAATATCAATATTTTTCGAGGATAGGTGAGAGTGAATACGCTACAAAAAGTGAAATGTGTGAAAATCTATAATATCTACGTTTGTCATTCTTACCACTTTTGAGGAAAAAAGACTGCAAATTGCTTATTACATCTCCCCAAATCTTCTGATTATAGAATATTTTGAAATAGTAACTTTAAATGTTGGTTTAAACATAAAAATTTATCAGCTATACTGAATTATAAGCCAATTTGACTAAAATTTGCAGAGTATATTGTTAGAAATTTGCTAAGATGCCAGGAGAAAGGAGAACAAAGAGGAGATTTAAAGACAGCTAAATCCCAGACTAGACTCGACAGTCTAGGGGCGCTGGTTTGGACATTTACTGTATAAGGACTTAAGAGTTAAATAAAATAATAAACAAGAAAAAGAGAGGACGAACATTGAGCGAGGACATTATGGGATGGATTTCACATAGACATATTTGTTCTTCCAGTGTTAGCCATGCTTCGGAGTCTGATGGGTCTGTGACAGGGACTTTTAACTTCAATAAAATAATAAAAATAAACAAAATGAACAACAAAACTGTACACAAGCTTCCCCAGACCAGATGTCCAAAATGCTTTCATGAAAACGTAAATGTAGGACGTAAACTACTGCAACAACAGTACCTTCGGGCATGACCAGGTTAGAGTGGAGATCTCGCCGTGAAAGACCAGGCTGGAGTCCAGATATAGTCCGGGGTTTAGTCCAGGTTCGGTTTAGTCCAGTTTTGGTAGAGTCCAGTTTGTGGCGGTCCTAGCTGCACTTGCAGGACTTGACTTTCATGTTGGAGAGTTGTTCGATCTTTGGCGTTTTTCCGATGTAGTAGAGGATGGTGAGGGGCTCCAGGTCCTGGGACACGCAGCACGGAGACGCGGACGCCTCGGGGTTTATCGTGTTGTACAAACCTAAAACCTGGAGATAAAAACAGAAGAGGAGGAGTTACTCTGACAGCAGAAGAAGAGAAGAAAGACTCACCTCCTATTTACATCAAAGCGTAACAGCGTAAGCACAGCAGCACAGCACAGGTTTGGCTTTCCATTTGAACTGGTCAGACAGTCTACAGCAGCAGAGTCATACGTGTGTCCAGCGGCCGCCATTACGCTATGTACTGATCAAATTAGGTTGGAGTTCTAATTTTGCACCGTCAACGGAACGTCTCCAGGCTTTTTAGCAGAGGAAAGACAGGAAATGGTCAAAATAAACGTCCTATGCCCTTTCAAAATACAATCGTCCCTCGCTATATCGCGGTTCATCTTTTGCCGTCTCTTTTAGTGTATTTTGCATGCTTTTTTTTTTACAGGGTATGAACGCGTATTGAGTATTACGGGCGGGGAGTAATTACATACAGGTGGATCAGGACTAAACCAGGTCTAAACCAGGTCTAAACCAGGACTAATCTTGGATTTAAGAGAGAGAACCCCGAGCAGTTTGTCCACAAAGCGCAATCGGGTAATTGCCACGTTTATCTCCGTGAGGTGCGGAGCTCTGCTTCCGTCCTTTCTCCTGCGGTCACCTCCGAGCCTGTCCCGACAGCGAGTCCTGTTTCAGTTCTGGTTTAGTCCTGGTTTACTCTTGGCTTACTCCTGTTTTAGTCCTATTTCAGTCCTGGAATCAGTCCTAGGTTCAGTCCGTGGAGTAGGCAGCGCAAAAGTTTGGTATAATCTCGGGTTAACAGGCGGGTGCGGTGCTGTACTGCGCGGGTGCAGGACTCTGCGCTGTAGGGCTCCATTATGGAATAAATTAATCTCAGGTTCATTACATAAAGAAGGAGGAAAATAACAAAAAAGACGACAGCAGCAATAAGTTTTAAGAAAGATGCAAAAAGGGTTGCAACAGTCCTGTCTTAAAAAAGTGTATAAAGTTTGTGGTGAGTAGTGTTACAGCCTTAAAACAGATATAATAAATGTAAAATATAAAGTTGAATACTTCACGGATTTCACCTATCGTGGGTTATTTTTAGAACATAACCCCCACAATAAACGAGGGACCACTGTACGTTCTCTAAAACCACGACAGTAGCATAAATACCGAGCGTCGCATCAGGAGCTCAGGGAATGACTCGTGATGGACTACGGAAAGTTTACAGCCATGTAACTGATAAATATAAAACACTTTACGACGTCAGACAGTGACTTTACAAAAACAAATTCTGAAGGAAAAGGCACGTGGAGCAGACGAACAAAGTGAAATGGTGAGGAGCTTCATTAATGCAGCACCGCAGATAAAACTCGTTATCACTAGGGGTGTGCAAAAATATCGGAATATCGATATATCATATCGTTTAATGTGATGATACAGTATCGATATCGTAGGCTACTGTATAGATATTTCACCAAGAGTATTTTTAGGTGTGTTTTACAAAATTATTTTGTTACAGAGCTACAGTTTTGTTGCTTGTGGAGTGAAAGGAAACTCATTTATGTAACACATTTGACATTTTTACTATTTTGAGGATTAAAATGTTTGTGTTTCAGATTAACTTTGCAGAAAAACTGGTTTAACAAAGACTTTAGTATCACAGCCATGATTACCTTTATTTTTTTTATTGAACCGTATCGAATCGATTTGAAATATATCATATCGAATCGAAAGTGCGCTGTATCGAGGTATGTATCGTATCGTGGCCTGTGTATCGAGGTATGTATCGTATCGGCAACTTCTTAATGATACCCAGCCCTAGTTATCACTGTAAAATTTGTAAAGCGTCATCTCTCTTGTTGTTAACTATTGTTTTGTGATTTAAAACATAATTCATCCAATCAATAATGAATACATAAATAATGTGAAAAGTTTAGTGTTTAAATGTGAGAATACACAGAGGCTGTTCTGCTGCCTCTGGTGTAAATTGAAGCTTTTAAAAGTTCACGCCTATGCAGCTCTGATACGTTATGTGCTGCGGACGCTCCTGGTGTAAATTCTGAGTTAGAATTGTAGAGTTTTCAGCTTGTCCAAGAAAGGGTGGAAGCAAAAGGAGACCAACTGGAGTCTTAAGCAGGAGAAGTTCATTTACCATCAATAATACGGCCCAGGGAGGGACTTGAAAGTCAACAGAGTGTGTTTTCAAAAGTGAACAGAGTGTGATCTTTGAGTGTTTAAGCCCCTTGACTCTGTTTCCAAAGGAGGAGGTTTGTAAAGCAAGTGTGGTGAGACTATGAAGACCAGTAGGCACCGGTTAGTCAGAAATATGCCACAATTTAGACAATGGTGCCAGTGGTGTGCCAAGGAAACATCATGGTGTAAATATAGCTTTTGTGAGTCAATGTTAAACTGAGATGTACATGGAGGATAAATTACTTAAATTCTCTTACGAGGGTGAGTTGTTGTACAGTTGTAGGGAGTATTATCTGTTACATCAGGGGAGTCAAACTCAAATTCACAGAGGCCAAAATTAAAAACTGGGACTAAGTTGTGGGCCAAACTAAATATTTATTGAAAAATTTCAACAACATCTGCATGTTTTCTCTTCTTTTGAGATATGTAATGTTAAACCTTTTCTTATTAAAATAAATGTTTAATAATAGTTTTGCTTAAATACTGAATCCAGAACAAGCAGAATATAAAATAATAACACAATTTTAAATAAATAATGTCTCTATAGTCGATCTGTAGCCGGCGGGCAGCTCTAATACAGATTTGATATGATCTCACGGACCAAATATAATTGTATCACGGGCCAGTCTAACATGTCTGTGTAAAAGTGAGTTCTTGTACATCTGTATGGAGTATGGCATGAATGTAGTCCTGTATCTCTCACTGTTTGGTATAAAATTTTGGTTAGGTTGTGTATAAAATCTTAAGAGTGATGTATCCCATTCTTTTCCATTTATCTGAGCAAAATGTATATTATATAATAGTGCAGATATATTGTATATTGTACTCTTTTGGTCCTAAATAGAAATGTTTTTATTGTCTGATATTCAGGTTGTTGTTGTAACTTTTAGTGTCACAGCAAAACTCTGCACTCACAATAAACAAATAGTGCACAACAAAAAAGAACATCCAACACATTCCATTCACATTCATTCATTCTTGCCTTCAATTTGGTATTTCACTGTTGGAGCTGAAAACAAATGAAAACACTCAAAATGGCAGCTGCATCAGAGATTTTGTGACAAGTGCACAACTGTTTTTGAAGGACAGAACCACAGCAGCTGACATGTTTTGGCACGATGTTGAATTTGGAAATAATCTGGCATCCTGTGGTGGACAAAACAGAAACACAGCAGCACAGTCCTGGGATTGAATGACCAACACACCAATACCAACGTGGCAGCACCAGACTGAATTTCTCCATTTTTCAGAGGGATAAAGTGCCAAGAGTCACCTCAGCGCATTGAAGGCCAGGAGAAACCGGTCTGGTGCTGGACAGGCTGACAGATGGGGCTGAATGATTTGGAAAATACATCTAATTGTGGGTTTTCAGATAGACATTAAGGTCGATTGAGGTTAGATTTGAGATTCATGTTTTATTACTACGACCGTTTTAAACACGACCAGAAGAATTGACAAGACGACTGAAATCTGAACTGACAAACTAACACAAGAATCACATTTCAGAACATGTTTGTACAGATCTAAACTACAGTTAGCAGCTTTTATACACAATAAGACCCCACGGACACAAAGGAAAAGATCTTATACACAGAGACATAAGATCCAAAGTACCGGGTTATCAGCTTTAATGCAGAATAAAACAGGAGATTTTGTTTTTTGTGTAGGAAATTATAGAACTGGGCCCAGTCAAGCAGAAGTAAACAACAAGGCCAAAAATTCAAGTTAATGCATCTGATATAAAAATTTATTGAACAGATACATATGTACTCTAGTTTATGAAACTGTTGACCTTTTTTCTGTACCATTTTTGGTTCTAAAGTTACATACGTTTTAAACAGACCATGTATGAAACATGGAACAAAAATTATTTCCCAAATTTCAAAGACCTGCAAATCATGTAAATAAATTGATGTATTTCATCATATCTTGTGTTATTCCATCTTTGAACTGTTGATGAAGGTACATGATTTTTTAAAAATGTATTTAAAATTTGCTTGGAAGGACTGACATATTTTATAGAAATAGTTTCCTTTAATTTTGAAGTAATATTAAAGTATTCGGAAGAAAAAAGCGACAAATTATGCAAAGTCTTGCACCTTCTACTTGTTTGAACAATTTTCCCTCCGTTACTTTTCCCTCCGTTACCATGACCTTTCGTAATAAAAAATATCATGACTCAAAAAGTAAGAGGTTTTTCAGCCTAATCTTGTACCATATGGTAGAAAACAATATGAAGCAAATATTCAAACCAGTTTGTTAAGGATATGTAAGTGAGAACCAAGAGTTATCACTGTTTGGATTTATTGCCCAAAACGTGCTGCATATTTCATTCCCTCCGTTACCGACATGAGTTTTTAAATTTTTTGTCAACAACTTGAAAGAATATCACAGGTTTAACTTGACCCTGTTGGAGTGTAACTCTTTCCTACATTCTGATACTTTACTTATTTCAATAGTTCCTCTAGTTTCTGAATAAGAGACATTTGAATGTCAAAAATCTGCCCCTGTTTCCCTCCGTTACCACTTAACCGGACCCAACTTAAAAAACTGCAACCTTTGTAATTTGCTAATTGTGTGTATTCAAATTGCGTTTTCGATTTGATTTTACTGGACAGGCGCTGACAGATGCTGATGGGTTTTATGCTCGTACTTACTTTGCTGTGCTGCGTGTCGGCGCTCCACAGATACGGACAGGCTCCGGCGCAGAAGTTTGCCTCGTAGCCCTTTGGCTCGTGGATCCACCTCCAGCCCAGGTCCTTCTTGAAGTCGATGTAGAGCGAGCGCAGGCAGCAGTTGTCCTGGACGTTCCTACAACACAAATAAAACCTGCAAAACTCTGGGGGGCAGGAGTGCTACATGGATATACAGAAAATGTGCAGAATTGTCCTTTCCATTCAGTTCCATATCCAGTTTCCAGGACTCAATGGAGGGTTAGATTTATTCCCCTTCCTTTAAAACTACAAGCTTTAAATGTGCAATCATTTCCTTTTTACATCTTTGTCTCCATGAAACTGTTTAAGACCTGCCCTCTAATATATTATACAAATTATATATGTTGTATCTGTAGCACTTTTGAATTTTTGGATTATATATATTTTTATTCGTATCTTTCTAAGTATTGGTTTTTGGGAATTGTACTATTTATATCTTGTATTATATCTTATCTTAAATATTTTGTAACTAAAATCTGTTCAGTCTACATGTCCCATCATTTCGAGTTTGCCCTGATAAAACCGAAGGGCCGAAACATGTTGGTGTGATTTTAACTTTATCTGCCATGTGGTATTAAAGGCTTTTAATTATTTTGTACTTTTTGAGTACATCGTTTTTTTCTACTTTGTATACATTTGTTTGGTCACACACTAGAACATCAGCCATGTTAAAGGTTGTATGGAGGATTTTTTTTTTTGTTTTAAATTGTCAATGAAAGTTTAATATACCATTACAGAGATGCAGCAGCTTTGTAATTATAATGACTAAAAAAAAAAAAAGAATGAAAATCTATCAACTGTGGATGTACTGAGACCAGATAAACATCAGCTAATAGACAACGAGGCTCCCTCTTTATCTATTGGCTGTTAGGTTGTCAATCAAACTCCCTGCATTTCTAGTGTAACTGATTCTCCGGCGTGCAGGGATTATGCGGTTTACGGAGCGGTTCTTAGAGGCTTTTTCAAACTGTAGCTCTCACGCAGTTATTAGCACAAAGTTTGTTGCGATGGCGGACGAGAATCCACGACCAGTTCGCCGCAAAAGAAAGTCTGTTTTTGAGGTCGCTGAAAGAAGAAGAGAAGGGGAAAAGGAGCGAAGCCAAACTGAGGTGATTCTTGGAGATTCCTTCCAGCGATGGCGCGAATGAAGCAGACGAAGGGTCTAAAAACTGACATGTCGGTCTCCAAATTATTTCTAGACAGGTCACTTCAACAGTAATTCTGAACACGCACTGGCTGTAAACAAACGTGATTTCTAGAGTATGGAGGAGGGAGGAGGTGTTTCTACTGAGGGAGCTGTGGAGGAGGAAGGTGGTGTCACGTTTGCACAACATTTGAAAAAGGACTGTCGCTGTATTTCTCTTTCCTTAAAAAATCCTCCATACAACCTTTAATGCACGATAAGTTCTGAATATTCATCTTGTTTTCTCAGTAAAATGAATTAGTTCTTCTTTACCAAAGAAATTATTTATCTCTCAGTCATGTTTAGACGCTTACATTCTTAGGTAGGCAATGTCTTTGTGCTTCTATCAAAACGTGCCAAGTCGAGGTCTGCGCGGGACAGAATTTTCAGTCCCACTCCCGCCAACACCTAGCGCCACCACTCAATTTCATTTCTCTCCAGCAACTAGGTCAGGAATCAGAATACACTAGATGGTTCGCAAAAGCCCCGAAAGTGCAGCCAATCAGCAAAGAGTCATATATTCAGTGTGTTGTCAAAGATTCCGGAGATCGAGGATTTAAAGCCAGAATAAAGAGAATGTTTGGTGAATTTCATCAAGGGGAAAGACGTTATTGTCCTTCTTCCTACGGATTTGGGAAAAGATTAATATACCAGTTAGTAAATGATAAAAAGTAATCTAAGGCTGCGAGGTCAGACGGTTTCCACGAAGTGAAACGAAGTAAAACCGGCTGATGAATCAGACTAGCCAACACCTGCAGAGAATTATAATTTTCAATCCCGCTCCCGCCAGCATCTACGATATTTTGTCCCGCTCCCGTCCGCAAATCCCGTAATAAAGCTGTTCGCTTTCTTCAGCTCTTCTTAAACTCTATGAAACACGGAGAAGCAGAAAGGAATTGTCTAAAATGTGCACGAGATTAGACCACATCTGCAAATTTAGGCTGCTTAAAATGTTTTTACTAATGCCAAATAAAATACCTAGTACAAATTATGCATGATAGTCATAGATTAATCATTTGTATGTTTTCTTCATTTGTACTTCTTTTACTACAGTTTATCATCCCACCCGCCTGCTCCGGCATGGCGTCGGTTGCAGAGCTCTAGTGCCAAGTAAATGAATCACCTCATACTTAATCAGATCAATATAATGATGACTAACTTGTATAAGAAAATGAGACCTGCTAACAAGAACAGTCTGCTTGGTCCTAATTTTTATCTTTTGAACTTCATGGGTGGCCACATGAGGGAATCTGAGGGACACTTAAACATGGTCCAAGGCTAATTTTATCATCATAGAGTTCAGAGCACTAATCAGGGCTTATGCAGAGCACGTCCAGTATGGAATTGCACTGCCAACCTGTGGGTCTGACCGCTAAATCAGTGATGTTTATGTTAAGAGCGGGACTGGATCAGAGGGAGAGCATTCAGGGGGTGGTACCTGGAGCAGTAGGCTGCGTCCAGCGCCCTCTTGGCCCTGTAGGGTTTGTGCTGCGTCTGGGACTCCAGTCTGTAGGAGGGCAGCAGCATCAGGAGCAGGTGAGGGGCCCGGGTGCTGTGTCTGCGCTTCTTAAACATTTTCAGGTCAAAACTGTCGTCGATACCTGAAGAAAAACACTGTTAAAAGTCAAACAGGTATTTACAGGGGGAGGGCTGCTCTAGATGGATATATACAAATATTTATGTATATTATTAATTAACTTTTTTTTTTGTTACCAAATGTTTATTGTTTTTTTAATATAACAAAAACAATACAAACCAACACAACACAACAGGTCCAGGACAAAATTAATTAAATGAAAGACTAGTGCTCATCTAAATCTACCACATCAAACCTAGACAAACCCAAAACAACAATATCACTTAGCCGCTCAATGGTCTAATATATACCTCATAACAAGGAGGTTTTAAGATCAGATATTGTTTGGTTTCAAAATTGAATAGTTTTTTCTTTTGCAATTAATTTACTTTTTTATTGTAAATCACAATATTGATCAATCACATTAAATACAGAGCAGGGGGCGGGGGTAGGGGATTGGTGAAAACTGAAAATGTCTGAGCACTCAAGTCTCAAATACAGGGCAATACAGGGTTACTAAAACACAACTTCTGAGCTAACTAATGGTGAGAGAGCACGGTTATAACATGATTAAAGCTCATAGAAGTAGATTATAGATTAAATTGTACTCATAGGGGTACAATTTTAGTTTGAATCCTTACACTGAGACACATAAACAGAATCTAAACTTGTGAGTATAAAGCTGACAGACCTGCGAAGCGCGCCTCCAGCTCCTCACTCTTGTTGGGGATGATGAGGTTGTTGGAGGGGACGAAGGTGCAGCAGGGACAGTGCAGGCTCAGCTTAAACCCACTGTTCCTGTCTGCACACAACAACAGTATTACTCACACATGAACAATACAGGTCTAGAATGTCGATGCAAAAGTTTAAACACTGGGTTTACTACCACATATAACACAGAGTCAGTCAGACTTGAGGCCCTGTATATAATTCTTTGATGCCCTTTGACATCAGTTGTTTAAACTGCACTGGCAGAAAAGTCTTTTACATGTTTTTATAGTAATTTGCTCTCAAAGTTATGGGATCTAGGAGTAAAATTCTCACAGTTTTTTGTGGTGAATGTGGCAGTATGTATGCCAGGTGACAGGTGAAGTAGATTGCAAATGTAAAGCCTGGACAGGTGCAGTATTTATTTTATTTATTTACTTGACATTGCACAATAAATGCATTGCACAGACCAGATTCAGCTACAAACTTATTAAAATGTGTAGTTCAGGGCAGAGGCAAAGAGACCGCAAGTAACTGCAGGTAAAAGGCTCGTGTAACAGTTAAAATACTGCTAAAAAAACAAAAAGTATATTACATGTTATAAATGTAAAGTCTTGACAGGTGCAGTAGATCACAAAGACTACATTCTGACAGGTGCAGTAAAGGTGTGTCTGAGATTTAAAGGTGTGTCTGAGATGGTTGCAATACCTGAATTCAATAAATCAATAGAGTATTTATGTATCATTTATCTGTCATTTATCTATCTATCTATCTAAAGTGGGCAGACACACCTCTGTGATTGAGCCACTCGCTGACCACCTCGGTGACGTCGAAGGAAAGCCACTCCCCCTCGGTCTGCGTGCGCACCACTCTGCTGTCGATGTACCTCTGTGTGGGAGACGCCAGCGCTTTGTGTGACAGGACCTGAACACACAACAGACACACTTTAACACACATAAAAACAAATACAAGTACACGGACATTTTTAATATCGTTGGAATTCTATGACGGTAGTGGTCAGTAGGTTTGCAGTGTCTTGCTCACAGACACAACACAAGCTCCTGAAAAGTTCCTGTTCATTTGCCAAGTCTAGAATTCAGATATAAGATCATATGGGAATATAAAAGAAAAGTACTACAATTTAATGCTGAAAATCACATTTTATTGTCTAATGAAAGAGTGTTTTTATCTGATAAGACAATCAGTTTTAGGGACGCAACACCACAGTTCTCCACAGGTCACGATGTCGATTAAATTTCAATACGTTTTAAGACGCAAACACTATGATGTTAATGAAACATCCATTACATACAATACAATACAGTACAACTCCTGTAAAGCTGTAGTTTATAGTTTAGTTCGTTTACAGCTCAGAATTTTTATTAACTGAGAATAAGAACAGAGCTTTCTCATGCTATATTATATTTTATAATACAGCCAGTCTACTCTTCATATAAACTGTAGGGGAGTGACACTATCAAACTTTTCGTTCTTTGATGATGATTTGATGATGTATTTTCTTTTCCTCCTGAGTTTGTCTCTGCTCTCGCTGCATTCACACAGACTCTTGTGTCGACGCTGCTCTGCCTCGTCTTCATCCTCTTTCTGAACACTCAAACCATGTTATATTTTTCTGAGAAAAACTTATGAGACAGAGTCTAAGTAAAGCCAAAACTGATTCTAGAGTATTTAAAAGGTCATATCTTTGTCTTTGAGTATGGAGGTTGAAATTTTAGTATTGTGACACCAATAATCAAAAGCCATGTACAGTGGAACTCATTGTTTCTAAAGACTGGGTCACAAGAGATTTTTTTTGGGTCACAAGAGATTTTTTTTGGGTCGCCTTGTAACGATCTGCATGAAGGTCTGCGATATACAGTTCTGCCTATACACCCGATCTGCTGCTGCGCTCTCCTCCTTCACCCGCTACAAAACGGGCTACAAAAACACACACAGGTCCACCTATGTCATTAGAAATGTTGAAATGTTAAGACATGTTTTGTATAATTTCTAATCTTTTTCAAATTATTTTATTGACTATTTTGTTCCAGTATTGCTGGTTCAGTTGAATGTTGAAAAGAAAAAGAAATGTTCTACATTAAATGTCCAAAGAGGCGATTTATGGATCCTTTTATTGCGGCTTCAGTGACTGTTTTTCATTGTTTAAAACTTGAGTAACACTAATTGTTCAGAGACACGATCACTCAGTCAACAATAAAATATCCTCATTAATGTTCAATAATGATCAAATCCACCTTTGTTTTGTGATTCATGACTAATGTCTATTGACTTGGTTCGCGAAGGTTTGTGACTTTTAAAATATGGGTCCCTAGAAAAAAAAAAGTAAAGGAAACACTGGTGTAACTTAGTGAAAGACGAGGGACTCTGTAATTCCAGCCCTTCGAGAGCCTTTGTATCTAGAGGTGATTTTCACAGCCTCTAAAAACTATGATTTTTTTGAGTGTTTAAAAAAAAGCCTCCATCCCTCATCCCTCTACCCACCCGGAGCCTGCGGCCTAAACATTGTGCTGTAGATCCAGATGAGGTGCTAATTCTCCGTACCGGGTCGTCCCGTCTGCGCACATACGGTTCAGCGTTGGCCGTTAGCATGTCGCGGTGAGTGCTTTACAGGCTGTTTATGCTAACTGTCAAACGCAGTACGCCGGGCCGAGTGGTACTACAAACAATGTCTCAACACAGTAGTGCACAGTAATCGCAGTACATGAGTGCAGGGACCACACAGGAGCTGCTCACGAAAGAAGAACTTGGTGACTCAGAGGAAAATCCAGTTAAAAGCAACTTAAACGCAGAATATTTTTTTATTTGAGGGCTTAAATACATTTTTTTCTCCATTATTTTTTGCTTTCTATGCATTTCTTGAAAGCACATGTACACTCCACAACAGTGTGAAATCTGTCTCATAATCCAAGCCGACCTAATCGACCCGTTGAGATGTGATTAAGAAAAACTGTCCCCTGTGATTCAGTAAGGTGTGGTTATGATTCCCAGGCCGGGTCTTTCTGTGTTTACATGTTCTCCCTGTGTCTGAGCAGGTTTCCCCAGGGTCAAGGATTTCTCATTGCCCTTAATCCAGAAAACTCACTTCTTCAGTATTTATGAAGGTGTGAGTCTGGTCACCCTTGAATCTCTCCATTTTTGAGTTTGATTTTAATTCCAATTTTATTTTTTCCACAATTTTAGACTATAAATTATAATCCCACAATAGGCAAATACTTTTATGTATGCAATATGTGAAAACTGAAAAAAACATGGACTCCCGTAAAAGCTGGGTAAACTTGTATAATATGGGGTTCATCACCACAGTGTGATTAATGTAAAGGCTTGACAGACTCAGTTTTTGGTCAGTATCATCGTAACATCTCTGGAGCGTTGAAGTTTGATGATAACTGGGCGTGCGTCTCTAGACACTCCAAAGCCCTGGTGGGGGCTGTCAGTTGGTACTGAGGTGACCCGTAGCTTTAGCAGCTTGGGTATAAATCCATCAAAAAACATGATCGGATCTTTTCCGTCTGTAGCCTCTTTTAGATTGAGTAGTCTTATTTTAGGTTGCCCCACCAGGTCTAATACCTTGTCCATTAGCTCATTCAAAGGCCTTTTTATCGGTGTGATGTCATCTTCAATCCCGGAGATGCATAGCCAGGCTGGCGCCACCTAATGCCTCTGCTCAATTTAATTTCTCTCCAGCAACTAGGTCAGGAATCAAAATACAATAGATGGTTCGCAAAAATACCAGAAGTGTGAGTTCAGGCACCAGTCAATCAGCGAAGAGCCAGATATTCAGTGTTGGCAACAATTCCCAAGATCGAGGATTTAAAGCCGGAACAAAGAGAATGTTTGGTGAATTTTATCAAGGGGAAAGATGTTATTGTCCTTCTTCTTACGGGATTTGGGAAAAGCTTAATATATCATTTAGCCCCGTTAGCGGCGCATTACATACATCACGACCAAATAACAGCGATTGGTTAAATAAAAAAAGTACCCTACTATCGTTGAGCGAACGAATCCTAACACTGCGAGGTCAGACGGTTTGTACGAAATGAAACGAAGTGAAACCGGCTGATGAATCAGGCTAGGAGATGCGTGTTTCGGACTCGGTCTGTCATGCATTTAGTGAGTTATAGCAACGACTTCATTAATGTGCCATATTAGGTCGTCTATCTTACAGTTCAGCTTAGACTCAAAGTCATCAAACGATTCTTTCATGGCCTTTTGAATGTTTCCTTCCTCGGCCACTGCTGTAGAAATACTTTTTTAGTAATGTCTCAGTTGAAATGTTTGGAACATTTCCAGAGTTTGATTTGGCAGAGGAGCTAGTGTGAGCATCTCTGTTAGTGTTTGTAGCATGACCAACGCCGGTCTGTGCCATCTTCTGTTATTTCACAATCCGTTCATGTTTGTTTTGTTTTTGGCATCTCAGAGTCTTTTGATTCCAGGTGAGTGCAAGGCGAGTGCAAGTCAGTGCAAACAAAGTAGTACGATATGCAATATGAAAAATAATATGAAAAACAAAAGGAACTGAAAAACATTGTGGATTTCTGCAGAATCAAAGAGCAAAAGTACTAAACTAAATCTTGAGTGACCAGTGATCTCCTTCATTTCACAGCAAAAACTGAAGGGTTAAAATTTCAGGGTAAAATATTTCAGAGTTGTTTTTAAAACGTGTTATTTTAACTATTTGAAAGTTAAATGGGAGTTTGAGTTGGGGTTATTTGCCAGAGTTGATATGGTTGAAGTTAACTGAACTTCCCTTAGAGTTAATTTGGCTCGTCCCACCCACCACTTCAAACCCCCGCGAGAGAAAACCAGTCTGAACCAGTTTCATCTTAAATAAACTAAAGTAAAGTGTATAAATAAAATGCCTTTGTGTGTTGTTTAGCTAAATCAAGATCAAGAACACCCTACAAAGTGTTATCTGTTTACTCTCAAAACATTAATATAACTCTTGATTTCGGGGTTAAACAGGAACTTTGGTCCAGTGTTACTTCATTAACATTTCCAAAAATGTTAAATTAACTGTAGAACAGATTGTACTTATATAAACCCTGAGAAAACTAAAACTGACTCTGTGAAAGTCATTTTTAACACTCATACAGATAGACATGATTTATATATATATTTAAAAAAAAGAGTAAACATTATATAACAATGATATGGATGATATGGACAAATGGAAAAGTAATAACAGAACAAACTGAAAAATAAACCAAACTAAAAACATAAACAAGAAGTTTCTGAGATATGAAAACAAAGAGGATTTAAATGAACTGAAAGATGTTAAAGTTCTTAAGGCTGTGGGTCATCTGTTCCAGTCTGACGGGGCTTTGTACTGAAATGATCTGTGTCCAGCTTCTTTGCAGATTCGGGGAACAGAAAAAGTGAAAACAGTGGGCGCTTCTGACTGAAAATGACGATCATTTTGGACTTCAAAAAGATTTCCCTCATTTACCACATATTCACTTTATTTCCTTAATGACCTCTGCAGTAAATAAGTTCTATCTGGACCACAAAACCGTTTAAAAGCCTCACAGAGAATCGGTGCAGTGTTGACTTACTGGTAGGGGTGTCAAATTATCGAGTTAATTGCGATTAATTAATTACAGTCATATTTAGCGCGTTATGTTTTTTAATCGCGTTAATCTTATTTTTAATCTCTAACTTTACTGTTTCTGTATGTGAGTTGCTTTATTATAAAATCTGTTTTTATGTTGTGTTTTTTATGTTTATGTTTTATGTTGGGACAACAACACATCGCTCCTGCAAAGAATTGTAATTTTCATTCCCGTTCTCGCCCACATCTGCGATAAACCTGCACACGTCTGATCTCTGAAAACATCGAGACACAAACACAGAACAGACTCACCTTCAGCATCAACATCCCTCTGTCACAGAAAGAACATCTATATTCCACTGAGTCGTGTCCTTTAGTCCTCTTTTTTTTTATCCTTTTTTTTTTCTTTTCTCCTCTTAGTTTATGCAAATTAGCCATGCGGTTTTAAGATTTGTTTCTGTGAGACTTGCGCAAAGCTGAATTAAACACATTATAATGTCAAACGGGCTGATGTGGCTCTAGAGTGGTTATGGTTTATATGTTGTAAAGTTGAGTTTATTTATGCAGATTAGTAACAGTAATAACAATGATGCTGTGGAATGTAAATGACTGCATCTGATCTGCATCTTGTTAAACAATAAATGACTTTATAAAGTCACTTTTTTGTTATATATCAGTCTTATGATCTGCCACAATAATGTAATAATGAATTTAAATCAAAATACCTCAAGTGGAAGCTTTTCTCAGCAATTTTTAGGTGAGATTAAAAAAGAGATTAATTAGATAAATTAATTACAGATCATAATTATTTAATCTCCCATGGTGCATATGAAAATTTAACATTTTACACAAATAAACCTACTTTATTTCATATTTTAGCTTAGATCCTCGCTTAACCGTGAATTCCACCACAAAGAAAGCACGGTTTAGTCGCCTTTACTGCAAAAGTGGGCGGGGCGAAATAAGGTCAATACCGTAAATTCCAGACTATAAGCCGCTACTTTTTGGTCACACTTTGAACCCCGCGGGTAATAAAACGATGCGGCGAATATATGGACGGATTCTTTGTTTGGCACATTGTCCATTCATATATACGGTCTATGGTTTGGCAACACAGCGGATACACGAAGCCTGAGTGCAGAAAACGTCGCTGTCTGTGCAGTTACACACGGATCTAGGGTTGATCTCCTGTCAGCGCACTCAAATAGTTTATCGCCGCTTGATAAAATAAGTTGTGATGCTAAATGAACATTAGTGAGGGGGATACGTCTTACCCGTGTGTGTAAATGACGAGAAGAAACGTCTTAATCTTCAGTAGCCGGACATCCACTCATACCTGATTGATAGAAATAACCCTGCCCCAGAGAGAGTCTGAAATCTGCTGAAATCCTCCAAGACACTGACATGATACAGACAGAACAGAGACTCTTTCTGCAGGAGACATGCACAGGGGAGAGACGGGGGTGATGCGGAAGATTCTAGTTTGATTGTGTTTTGAACTGTTATTTTGCGCTTCATAGACACACCCTCCTCATGAAAAACACACGAAGAAATGCAGATGATGCACCTTTTAAGTTAACGACGACTGATGTGGCTGTGGAAGAAAGAAATCGAGCTCAATGTCAGTGAGTCGATGGTGAGATTTTGGCGACGGCGGCGTGACGAACTGACTCAACGCAAAAAGACGACAAAAACTTTCAGAGGTGATAAAAGCAGACGCCCGAACTTGAAAACGTTCTTGAAGATGTGGACACCTGTGGCTTATATTCAGGTGCGGATTTTGTTAAAATTTAGTCGATGTGGCGTATATTCGGGTGCACTCAATAGTCTGGATTTTACGGTAGATAATCCTGATCAAATAGCTCTATGTCTGTGTAGAGTCTGTCGTACCTGGTAGAGTTCTATGCGCTGCTCTGGGACTCTGGCTCCGGGGTTCTGGAGCCTGAAGATCCTGAGTTCTGCTTTGACGAGGTTTGAGGCGTTCTTCTCCATGGAGGACACGTCGAAGGAGAGCCGGCGGTAGAACGGGTTTAACAGCGTCGGAGAAATCACGTCTGAGGAGAGAAAGAGGAACAGAAACAGTTACGTTAAAAGCAAAACTGAAGAACTTTCGGCGATAAAGCTTCCCCTGCAGCTCCTTTATGAGGGAACAGGCTCAGGCAGATTTTTGTCTTTTCTTTTTTACTAAAATAAGGGAATATAATCACATACAGAAACGCAACATTGCCAAATACAGTCTCTTACACTCTTTTCGGGTCGTGTTGGCCGTATTACAAGACTTGTTTTCTGCACAGAGACAGCAGAGGGCGATAGTGGACGCTTCATACACCCACAAACACATATTAAACTATCACAGGGACTTACAATGATGTTTGAGGAGGTAAAAATGTGACGTAGTGCTGCTTTATTCTCCACAGAAGTCTTTCACATTTGTTAATTTACTTGGTCCTTATTAAAACTTTCACTGTTTCCCAAACGATGTGGTGCGAGGTGAGGACTTGATTTGATGGAACTCAGGACCTTCTACAGCTGCTCGATGATGGAAAAAAATCATTATCACGATTATTTTGGTCAATACTAAAATCACGATTATTCAAACGATTATTACACGATGCATTTATTCAGCATTTCTCTCTAAAATAGAAATAAACACAGGCTACAAATATGAACCTTAGGAGCAGTTTTGCGATGTACGAAACACAAAATTAATAAAATTAACTTTGAACATGAAATAAGATATAGAAAAACATCAATGTATCCAAAATAAGCTATATATCCTGTTCTACAATCGCTATAGTTAAAAAGAATAATAAATATACTTTATATAAAAAATATCCCAAAATAAAATTTATTAAGCTTTAAATCATTTCAATTCAACTATATGAGTTTGGAGATCGTTTGATACAAATCGAAATCGTGATCCAAATATGATTAATTACACAGCGCACACTTAGGGCCTTCTTCAGCTCAGTTTTGTCTGCTCTTGTCACATCTGCTGCTATGACTCTGATCCTGTCTCCCCCTCTGGTTCTGCTCCTCTGTCTCTTCTCCTCTGGATCTTCTCCTCTGGTTGTGCTCCTCTCTGCACTTCTGACTTTGCTCCTTTGGTTCTTCTCCTCTGGTTCTTCTCCTCTGTCTCTTTTCTACTCCTCTGACTCTGCTCCTCTGTCTCTACTCTGCTCCTCTGCTCTCTGTCTCTCTGCTCCTCTGCTCCTCTGACTCTGCTCCTCTGTCTCTACTCTTTTGTCTCTGCTCCTCTGTCTCATCTCTGCTCCTCTGTTTCTGCTCCTCTTGTTCTGCTCTCTTCTGCTCCTCCGGCTCTGCTCCTCTTTAGTCACATTAAAACCAGAGCACTTTCTTCTCAGCCTGCTTCAGTCCAACATCAACATTTAACATTTGGGAGGAACTGGGAAATTCCTGGTCGAATGTTTTCTTTACGTCAGCTCAAACTTTAGGCTATTTTTGAACCTCTTAAAGCTCCGGTAGTAGCAGGAGTCTCAGGTGGTGGAGTCGTCACTTTATGAGCTGCAGGTTGGCGCTAGATTCCCAGTTACCAGCGCAAAATAATAATAATAACTGTATTCACTGAAATGGAGATGTATTTATTTGCATAAATAGGGTTTCAACGATACAGTTTTCCCACAATTCGATTAATATTTTGATAAACTGGTCATGATATCGATTCAATTTCGATACATATTAAGACGCAAAAACTTAAACACATAAAATATTACATACCGTATTTTCCACACTATAGGGATCACTTAAAAGCCTTTAATTTAATCTAAAAATGACTGTGCGCCTTATAATCCAGAGTGCCTTATATATAAATTTATTGGGGTGTCTTAGTATGACTTTAGTAAAGTACAAAGCCACACCACTTGCAGCATTACGGCTCCAGTAGTCAGGAGCATCAGGAATAATACATACTGTGATTCCTTTTAATATCAAAATACACCTGTCAAGAGACACAACACCCACTTTAAACTCAAGACTATTATAAGGTTAAAGTGCGAGCTGCGTGGGAGCAGTGGATGAGAGAAGGCGAACACAGCGCCGAGCGACTTACGCCACGATCTGCCAACGGATCGTGGACGCCTGGGCTAAGGATCAGTATCAACTGTGGTCCGAGCTTTCACCAAAACCAGAATCATCTGAACTGCCAGAGAACAGTAACCACACTGACTCGAATAATGACGAGAGGGATGTGGACGTGCTGGACGCCGTAATCGCCCAACTGTTTGAACAGTTATGAGTTATTGTGAATGACAATTTAGCGTCTCAGACAGTATTTTTTTTACGTGTTACAATTGAACAAAGTTGAGAGTTATTGTGAACGCGTTAAATAAAGTTTGACTGACTTATCTGACTGTTGTGTTTCGTTTAATGCGCCTTACACTTCGGTGCGGTTTATATGTGAATAAAGTTTGAAAATAGACCATTCGATGACAGTGCGCCTTATAATCCAGAGTGCCTATAGTGCGGAAAATACGGTACATTAAACACAATACATTACAGTACAGCTACTGTAAAGGTGAAGTTTATATGTGAAGTGTTTTAGTTCATTTGGTTCAGCGATTTACAGTCAATGAGAATAAAAACAAAGGTTTCTCAGGCTATTTTATATTTTAGAATATAGACAGTCTACTATTATAAACTGTAGGGGAGTGACACTATCAGACTTTTCCTTCTTTGATGATGATTTGCTGATTTCTTTTCTTCCTGAGTCTCTCTGCACACCTCATGTCTGTGTCGGTGCTGCTCTTTTCCTCCAGCAGAGACAGTACGTAGCTCCTCCCACACTGCCCCTACAGTATGTAACACACTGTGCTCTCCCATCCTCTTTCTGGACACTCAGACTACGTAATATTACATAGAAATGTTTCAGTCGCCTGTTTTCTGAGGAAACTAATGAGGCAGAGTCTGAGAAAAAGATTGTGTATATCGTGAGTCACGTCGCATGCATGTACGAGCGCATTTGAGTAAAGCCCAAGTAAAGCCAAAAGCGATTAAAAGTTAATTTCTCTGTCATTCCTGGGTTTATCAACGTAAAATAAAGAGTGACTGAAAGACAAAATCCACCTCTGTTAGAATGTTTCAGCTGTAATGTCTGAATGGAGCTGTTTTCTTGCTGCATCTGAGGAGCACGCAGCGATAACCGTTTTCCTTTCAGACTAAAATAAATGACAACACAGAGCTCATGAAGGGACACATGCATATTAACTGAACACGTGTATCAAATCATGAGATCAGTATCGAACAACTTAATATTATATCGAATATTGTTGCAGCCCTGATCAGTAGTATGAAGCAGTGTTGTCACCTTACTAAAATTTCAAACTCGATTTCGATACCAAGGAATAAACTCAATACTCAACTACACAAAATGACCCAATTCATGACTTAGATTCTAAAGACCGACTTGGCTCCACGTGGACTTCCTGTTCATCAGAATGACCCTGCAGGCCGTAGCCCGCCGTAGCCCGGTGTTTACACAGAGGGGTATGAATGGGCTACTGTACAGAGCCCAACACTACACACATTCAAACCACTACTGATACCACAGTACTGATGATGGTGCTGGTGGGAGTAGCAGTAGCAGAAGCTGTAGTTGTAGTAGTTGTACTAGTAGCAGTAGATTAACTTAAAGGTAAAACTGGAGGTTATTGCCCTCAACACTTTACATATTCAACCATTAATGAAGCAGTTTCCTCGTACAAATGACACATGGACCATTCAAACTAAAGCAAAAACATCTCTAAGGTTTCAAACTTCTACCAGGAAACTTGCACAGTGCACTTGTATATGTTTCTTAGGATAAAAATGAAATAAAGTGAAAGTGAACTGGATGGAGAAACCAAGTACTTTCTGACACAGTTGTAAGTCTATAGTTTACTGCAGACAGGGAGACTGGACCATGGTATTTGTGAAGGACCTGTGAAAATCCTGTGCTGCTTCTCAGACTCGGGACTTGACTCTGAGGGGACCAGACTCTGAAAGGATGGGACTCGGAAGGGACCAGACTCTGCGGGGACCGGACTCTCAGGGTACAGGACTCTGAGGGTATCGGACTCGGAAGGGACCAGACCCTACTCTGTGGGGATCGGACTTTACTCTGCGAGAGACCGGACTCTTCTGAAGGGGACTGGACTCTGCTGAGGGGAACGGACTCAACTCAGCAGGGACCGGACTTTACTCTGTTTGGGACCACACTCTACTCTGTGGGGGTGGACCGGGCTCTCAGGGGATCGGACTCTTCTGTGGGGACCAGACTCTACTTTGTGGGGGACCGGACCCTTCTGTGGGGACCGGACTCTTCTGCGGGGACTGGACTCTACTCTGCAGGGGACCAGACTTTACTCTGTTTGGGACCGCACAATACTCTGTGGGGGAACGGATTCTCTGGGGACCGGACTGTACTCTGCGGGGGACCGGACTCTTTTGTGGGGACCAGACTCATCTGCAGGGACCGGGCTCTCTGGGAACAGGACCCTCCTGCAGGGACTGGACTCTTCTGTGGGGACCGGACTCTACTTTGTGGGGGACCGGACCCTTCTGTGGGGACCGGACTCTTCTGCGGGGACTGGACTCTACTCTGCAGGGGACCAGACTTTACTCTGTTTGGGACCGCACAATACTCTGTGGGGGAACGGGTTCTCTGGGAACCGGACTCTACTCTGCGGGAAACCGGACTCTTTTTTGGGGACCAGACTCATCTGCAGGGACTGGACTCTTCTGTGGGGACCGGACTCTACTTTGTGGGGGACCGGACCCTTCTGTGGGGACCGGACTCTTTTGTGGGGACCAGACTCATCTGCAGGGACCGGGCTCTCTGGGAACAGGACCCTTCTGCAGGGACTGGACCCTTCTGTGGGGACCGGACTCTTCTGTGGAAACCAGACTCTTCTGTGGAAACCAGACTCTTCTGTGGACACCGGGCTCTCTGGGGACTTGACTCTTCTGTGGGGACCGAAACCTTGTGTGGACCGGACTCTCTAGGGATCGCTCTCTTTTACGGGGACTGAACTCTTTGTGGACCAAACTCTACAGAGAC